CGTCGTTACCGCATACGGTAGCCTTGCTCTTCGATAGCTGAACAGGAAATGCATTTTCAGCATAAATCTAAATTAATGACGAACATAAGAGATTTGATACACAAGAGTATAACTGATTTGTAATTAAGTTTTTTGAACTGATCATTAAATGCACAAGTGACTTGATGACTTGCTTAATTCATCACAAAGTTAATATATTTGTGCGCATCTACCCATATTCAGGGGTCTTTCATCGCGTACTCATAATTCGGTAGATTCGATAGCATTGAGTCACATCAGAATTAAGATTTTGACCATCATTAACGTATGGAAGTAATCACGGAATCCAGAACATTATACTTACGAATAGCGGTTCTCATAAAAAAAAATAAATCTTGCTTGATAAGTAAAAGCATTAAACAGTGTGTCACGACGCAAGAAGGCTCGATAACCGCCAAAAGTTGGTCACATGGCTATGGGCTGGAAACGAATAGTGAAACGCCACCTCAATCGTCCATGGTTTGAAATATGAAATAGAAACTTAGTGCATGAGTAAAGTGATTCCAGTTTTTAGGTTAGTTACAAAATGATTTGCTAGGCGATTCCAAAGTATATCAATAGTACTGTTATTGGCACTGTTTTAATTAGTTCGTTACATGGAAATCGGGAAAAAATAGTCTCCTCTAATCTTTAGGAGTTCTTTGGAACCCCGAGCTCGACGACAGCTAAACTATGAAGGAGGGTGTAAACATTTGATTAGCTACATTTGATTTGAGAATTGTATTTATTAATCTAGTTTGAACAGGTTGCATCTTCTTGATTTTGAAGTCTGCTGCTAGCACGAATCCGCTGAGCTGCCTTCAAAATTATTAGTTTCTTGCATGTAGCCAACGTCGTTGCACATTTATATGATTAGTAAGTATGTTCATATTTAATTTTTAGGTTTTTTTGCAATTTGAAAGGTTTTTCTGACGTAGTAACTAGAAGTAGGAAAAAATGGAAGATTGAAAGATTTAATTTAGAAGTTGACGATGATTTGAGTTTTAAGGTTCTTCTCACCTTTTTTTGGATGCGAAGTATTTTCTGTTTTTCGCTTTAGGGTAGCATCTAGTTTTAGATGGTTATCGAACGCATACTTAAAATCTCTTAAAATGATTTACATACGAACAAACCATCTGTTTTTACTTTAAATTCATTTTTATTAATAGGCATGGACTGTTTGATCCATTTTGTTTTGAATTTTTTAGGTCGTTTGCGGACACAACAAGGGTAACGTTGGAAAAGTAATAAGAGTGTATCGTAAAAAGTATGTGATACACATAGACAAGATCACTCGCGAGAAAGCCAACGGTGCTACTGTACACATTGGAATCCATCCCTCTAACGTATGTTGTGCTCGTACTGATAAATTGCAGCATTGCAGCTAAAATTTAGGTGATGATCGTGAAGCTTAAGCTCGACAAAGACCGAAGAAAGATTTTGGAGCGAAAGGCTGCTGGAAGAGCTGCTTCTTTCGGACTGCTCAAAGGAAAACATACCGAGGAATCTGTTGCAATGGAAACGAGCTAATTGTATTCTGTCTGTGAAAGTTGCAACTAGAGTAACTGGCAAATCATTAAAAGCTTTCTTGTTGTCAAAATATATACTTGATTTACTTAGCTGTTTTCTGCCTTAGTTACAGTTTATATCACCGTCAAAAAACAGATCACCGAACAAAACTGTTAAACATTCGGACATACATTCGATGATAAGACTCTTCGTGCTGTTGTTCGTTCTTGGTCGCCATCAGCATTAATTTTGCTTTCCAGTATTAAGGCATTTGGGATCCACTGACTGTACTGTTTAAGCGCAACCAAATGAAGTAGAGCAAGTTACTTTTTGCGACATTAGTTCTTTGGGTCCCGTTTACGCTGTCTAGAATCGATGCAATCGAGCGGATAATATTTTATTTAAGAATCTGAATCGTTTGTGCCTATCTCATTTTCCTTTTTAGGAAAGTTACGAGTTTAGCTATCTGGCCTTAAGCAAGCTACTCTGTGTTTGTCTTGGATCATGAATTGAGTGAATCCGAATTTAAACAGCTCGTTGCCAGTTCAGTTTCAGTTGTTGTATCGTAGCCACCTAGGAAATTCTGTTTTCTCAGCATGACGCGGATTTGTTTCGGAAATGGAATATTCACGCAGTAAAGGCTACATTGGACCCTTTAAAATAGCTGCAACATTGGCTGAGTGACGTAACTCAGTCAGCAGCAATTTTCGCTTATAATCACATTTCATGTCGGAAAGGTTACCATCTGTCAGGACACTAAAGCTAAAAGAATGGAAATCGATCATGTGGGACTTCGGAAATATAAGCGTTTCCAAAATTGTATACTAGTTGAGATGTCAAGTCATATATCGAGCTAAACTTGCGTTCTGTTTTCGCTCATAACGACATGGGAGATATTGCTATTGGTCTTCATTTTTGATGCATAATGGTTGAACTAATGTTGTGCAAGAGGTATCTGCAATAAATTTTCTGAGGAGTACTTCCAATAATGCTAATTTTGTCAGTATGACCTTTAGTAATAACTCAGTTTGGTATCAGTGCGTTAACTGCCAGTATGTGGTCATTGAATTTTTTCTTATGACGGTGATGTACGAAGTTGCGACGGGTATGAATGCTATCCATAATTCAGAGAGTAGTGTCTGGACAACATTATAGCGCAGAAGTTTCGTGTCTTAAGTCTAATTAGCATGAAAAATGTTATATTTATCCGTCTCTTGATGCCATCCATCAGCCATAGGTCTTATTTCGAGCAATCCGTAAGACTTCAACCACCACTTAGAGGCTGACAGACTGAATATATTTTATAAATACTGACAAAACCTGTTATTTTGTTCGGTTTATAGTTGATGTCGTTCTTAGGCCAGATTTTCTGAAGGTTAAGAGGTCTGCTAAGTTCTAATGACCGTGACCTCGATCATGTTGGAATCAATAACAGACATTTGGAGGTGATGAAAACTCGATCGACTGTCAGAGTTCTAGAATTTGTCATTAGTTCAGATATAAAAAAACATCTTCTGCGATGTTGATGTTGAGGGGAAATTCAGGATGACCTGGAAGTCATAGACGTTGAATGCGCCTCCAATAATGGTTTAGCGACTGAAGTCCGTTTACGAATTGATTATTCTCAGAAACCACAGTGCTTTAGTGATCCACTGGTGGTTATTCAATTGCTTCTGTCTTGTTGAAGGTATTTGCCCCCTTTTTACGGCTCATAATGGGACCTTAAGAGCAGCCAGTGCGCACGTGCTGCCTGCCGAAGTCAAGGACTAATATCATTAACGGTTGCGTAGTGACAGTCCTGAAGCAGATTTGGTAACCCTAATGTCTGATTTCTGGAGACTTAAATTGGTTTGAGCGTGCAGTCATCAAAGAAACATCGACTGTTCGGAGCATCATTAGAACCTCTCAGCGTTGATATAGTTCCTCCGTACACTCCTCTATGTCGATATTATCTTTTGAATTGCACTCCATCGTTTTGTTGATCGTTCGGTTCTCTAAATAAACGAAACGTCCAATTTCAATTGTCACTGTTAAAACAATGCTTAGCAACGTCAGGTAGCCGCTATCATTTAAGTTTTACAGTAACCCAGGAATTTAGAATCACCAGTTTCTAGCAAAAGGCTTGTACGGGGAAAAAGTCTGTTTTCCTGTTCTGTATGCTCTTCTCATATGCATATCAGTCAGACCAGATGTCTTTAATAGCCAATCAATTTAGGTGATTGGTGAGCACACCAGCAAAGGCCAATTAGTTTTACACTGTTTGTCTGTTAAAAATGCCCAAGTTATGAAGCATGTATTTTGATATGTCGTGTGCACGCTGAATGAATACGCCATTTGAGTGCGCAAAATTTTTTCTCATTACCGTAAGATTCTATGGTAGAGGAGCTGCTCCACTTTTTATTGTTGAATCATGATCACAAAAGATCAGAATAGTACAGAACAATTTCTACATCAGTATCTTTAAGCGATCATGCACAAACTACGCAGTAAACTAAGAAAAAGTCTATTTAGCAAAATCCTGAGCAAATTAATATGTACACACTAGCAAACGCGGTATCTTGTTTTGGCACACCACATCAGCGTTCATTGAGTTCTACCGGATTCAGCTGCTAAGAAAACATGATGTTCAAGACAGTATGCAATGCGTATCATAAAGAATGGGCCCTTCTTTCCAATCGCTTCCGGGTTTGTCGGTACAGAGTAGTTCATTAAATACGGCCTAAAAATATAGACTATGTAACTGTTTTGTATAAAAACCATGCAGAATAATATCTGAATCAAAACTGTTTTACAATCTTTGGTAAAGATAGTTTTTTTTGCCTAACTTTCCGCGAAACTTCGTTCTTTACGTTGAATATCAGGATTTCTGACGAGAACATACGGTGTGCAATCACTGGCTTAATCGGCTAGTGTTGCTCAGGGACAAGTTTCCTTCCAAGTGGAATGCATTCCTTCACGCAGCGAGTCCTCACTATCGCACTTTGTGGCTCCATTATGTAATGCCGGCTCCGCCACGGCCTGCCAGTCAGCAAGGCATTGATTCCAAGGAATGATCAGATGTAATTCAAGCATTACAAGGTTTACATACAACTGCTGCAGATGATGTGCCATCTAGCCTAACGTAGTATTTAATATAGCGTGGGACGCGAACTGACTGGAATATGTCAACTAGACAACGGCGCACTTCCGACCCCGCTAATCGTCAAAGGTATCTGGATGCTGTTCATGGCCAAAGTTGAATAACATGGCCGGAAGACAGACTGCTGCTGATGAAGACAATTCGGTGTAAGCTATTTGATGTCTGTGTCTGTTGAGCTGCTGCTATTTCATAGTAAATAGTTTTTGTATAAGTATTGCCGTAGTTAATGATGAAAACTGCTGCCTGCTCCAGCAACGGAAAATTCCACAGTGAGCCTGGGAGGTTTCACTACACTAAGACATGCCCAGATCATTTTAATATTCATTTGCTTTTAACTGACTGCCAATAATACAGTTATAACTGCTAATACTAATATTCATTTCTTTACTACATACATTTCATCCTGTGGGTTCTGTTGATTTATGGGTTCGTGGGGATGTCTTCAAGACTTACAAAACGCTTCTCCGAAAGTAGCTGAACCGCA